CGTCAAGAAAGCTTAGCCCGGCGGCCTGACTTATGCATGATCGCCATGACGAATCAGGAATAAATGTAGCCCACAGGACCCCCAACACCACCACGTATCCCAAAAAGAAAAGAAAAGAAAAAAGTTATAAAGCAGTGGCTTCCGATCTTCTTCCCAGTTGTGGTCGCTAAACAAGGACGACCTGTTCAAGCCATGAGCTCGCCCAGGGAAGTCTAGTTTCAAAATCCCAGTAATTTGATCCGGAGTCTTACGGACTTTATTCTGCTGGCAAAGGTTCCTTTCTTGCCCAACTTAGTTAATTTCTGAGACTGCACTTGCTTGTTCCGCAAAGAAGATGAAAGTGGTTGCTTGTCTCTCTATGTAATGCAGAGAAATGCTGTTTCAATCTTAATTTTTGGGGGCCATTTACACAGTTGTCTGGCAAAAGAGACGTGGACTTCAAGTCCAGGGGCTGAGTTGGCTGCAGAGGGGCTTGTGGAGGGTTAAAAACATCGAGCGGGTGGCCCTGAGCATGTGCTCGAAGCCCTGCACCTTTTTAACGCGCGATGCACAGAAAAGAGGAGCAGGGCTTCCCTTGTGAGATGGTGACCGCCATTCTGACTCTTTTGACCACCCTCCTGGCTGATGCTCCTCTCTCCAGCCAAACCCCTTAGCCCAGAGGCGGGTCATTTTGGTTCTGTATTGTTGCATGAACCATAAATAAAATTAAACCAGCTCGTTGAGTAAATCCCTTTATTTTCAGTATTTCAGATTTTGACCCTTCCTTTCTGCCCTAGGGGACTCAAGGCAGCTGGCCACACATTACAAAACATGGACTGTTCAGATGCCATTAACAAAAATCCCAGCCGTTCCAATCCGAATGAAAAATAAATTGGTCCGCAAAGGTCTATGCGAAGAGGAAGGTCTCGGCTCCTTTTCTAACAGTGGCGTGGATCAGGACCACGTAGGGCTCCCTGCCGGGGAGGGAGGAAGGAGAAGTGGCCCCTTCTGGTGCCCATGTGGACATCTGGGAAAGGGAGGAGGGCCTCTTCCGGAGGGCAAAGGAAACCTTTCTCCGCCCGGGCGAGGGCTGCCCCATGCAGCTCCTGGCCACCAGGCCCAGCGATGCTTTTAAGGGGAGATTAGATCAAGGATTGCAGGAGGAGTTCAGCAGATTTGGCAATAAGTCAGGCCTCTAATAAGGTTATTCTGAAATACGTTTGGCCGTTTGCTGAGAGGCAGGCAGGGAGGTGTGCAATAAAAGGGCACAGGGATGCAGAAAAGCTGGACCGGCAGGTTTGCCTCACTGCTCTCCTCTTCTCTCCTCGGCCTCTCCTCCTGCCTTCGGACGGCGGTGTCAGGATGCTGCGCGTATTCTCTTATCTCAGCTCCGAGGTCGACTGGTGCGAAGCGAACTTCGAGCACTCGGAGTACATCGCCGAATATTACAACACGGTAACTCTCTGCCAGACGTGCGAGGGCCCCTTTGGCCAGGGCTGCGCCCCCCCTTTCCCCTCACCTGCGGGGGGAACCGATGCGCCGGACCAGCTTTTGCCACCGAGCACCCGGCCGCAAAGGCTCCTCGTCGCCTCCATCATCAGGAGGTCATCGAGCCGTGACGGACCAGCCACAGGATTCACGATATGCGTGGCCCCGTTCGCCCACCCCCCGCAAGCCAACAGCCCCACAACCAGGGCAAAAGGAGCAGGCAGGGTTGGTACTTGCTGTCCCATTGCGCTGGGTCGTCCACTCTCCGTGGAGGCTTCTCCAGTCAAATCAGAAACACATCGTGTGCTACTGGCTCTTCCCAGCCTGTCCTGAGGTCTAGGATCTTGAAGTTTGGCAGCATTAGGCCTGCTAACTTTGCAGCAAGGGGCCCTGGACACGGTGGTTTTTTCCAAGCAACGTCATAGCTCCCTGGAGCAGGGTTACTCAACCTTGGCCACTTGAAGATGAGTGGACTTCAACTCCCAGAATTCTGGGAGTTGAAGTCCACCCATCTTCAAGTGGCCAAGTTTGAAAAACACTGGTCTAGATCCACCTTAATTGCTTACCATTACACTGTCCCCCTTCCCAGTTCTCCCCAGTTCTTCTTCCGAGAGTGGCTCAAGAAATTTTAAGACTCCCCCTTCCGATGTCAGCATGATCGGTTTCCTATGGGGCCGGTGCTTTGCTCCCTTCCCAGCATCTCCGCCTCCACAAGGCAGCCAAGAGCATCTGGTTTTGGTTCTGCCGACAGCCTGCAAGAAACCACAATTGAATGTAGGCTGTCATACACCCTCCTGGGTACTGCGTGGAGCTGGAGGGCTGGAGAAGGGCTGGGTACCAGGTTAGGGCAGGGTCTGGGTCAGGAAGGAGAAGGTGGGATTGCAGACGTCCCCAAGTCTGTGCTCAAGGGATCAGCAAGCAGGCTGGAAATGTTGGGCTTGGTCTTTGAGCAGGACATGGGAATTATTTTGAAAGATAGAAAGATATCATCCTGAGCAAGCGAAGCATGCAATGGGAAAGGAAAATGCAATTAAGAATTCATTTGCGCCATTCATTGCAATTCTCCGCAGCTTCCTGTCTTTGCAAACCAACCTTGCAGCGGTACCCACGGAAGGGTCAAAACTGTCCATGTTAGCTGGGCCCTGGCGTAGCGCAGGTTTCTAATTTGAACATTCACTTGCCCTTGCCAGTGTAAGAAGATTTCAGCAACGGGTTCCCCAAGATGCTGATGTTATCCCTAAGAACAAAAGCAAGAATTGATGCCTCTCTGATTTCCATGTAGGGAGGCTTTCCAAATTGATGCCAGACCTTTGAAGTAAGCCAGATGTTGCAAGGATTCCAGAAAAGCTGTTACAGAAATAGGGCAGGGCGGAATAACAACCTGCCGGTGTGTGAATCACAGAGTCCTAGGCCTCAAAGGGACCTTGAGGTCTTCTAGCCCAGCCCCTTGGCCAGGGCAGGCATCCTCAGACCACCCCAGGCAACGGCCGTCCAAGGATGGAGCATCCCTGACTTCAGCAGGCAGGCTAATCCGTGGCTTAATGCTTCTCACAGTCAGGAAATTCCTTCTGATTCTGAGGCTGGCCATTCCTTCGGTGGGTGCCCAACTCTGAACGCAAGCATGCCGTGATGCAGCCACCAGAGCGGGCCCCTTCAGTGTCCCCTGATAGCAAACTGAGCATTGGAAGGAACCTCGCAGTGTCCCCCAGTCAACATAACCCACGTTTAATGGAGAGAATTATCAGCAGGCACAACATAGTTGTTTTTGCCCATCGGTTCCTGCCTGAGGTTTTGAAAATGTGGGTAAGAATTGATGGATGAAAACAGCTTAGGAATGTCCAAGATGCAATTCCACCTTGGCCCTGAAGGCCAGCCCCTCTCCCCCCCCGAAAGCAGACTGCTGAAATCAAGTTCTTGCGGGCGTTGGGTCACGGTGTCTGCGCATGAATGCTTCGGAGAGCAAGAATCCAGCCGGAGCCATTATCAGTGCAGGGAAAGTTGATTCCCTTACAGCAGTTTTTTGTCGCAACCCACTCCCCTGCTCCACGCTCATCAGGCACGCTCACGCTCCTAGGGAACCACCGGCCC